ATATAAAAATTGAATATACATGTACAATACATAATAAAAATAAAATGAAATACAACTGAAGGTTACACCATTCCGTTTAGGGTTGTCGCTTAGAGCTGCGACACGGTGGTTTAAATGATATAAAGAAATATAGGGCAGTCACTGCACACCAAACATATATACGTACATACAGGCGTTCATGTTCACAAAGATATAACTAGACTCTGCGCAAGTCTCTTATGTCATTATAATATGGACAAGAAATGAAAAAGTGGTATTTCTAGTTACCAAGTTTTATTTAGCATAAAAGTGTCACACAAGAGATTAACGACACTGTTTCTGTCTGCTACGTGTATGGGGTGTTTACGGCCTGAACGTAATAAAGCTTAATACAGATCAACTTTTACAACAGTGAAACCATATCATTAAGAGCAACGCTACATGGCTTGGTTTTGTTTGTTGTTAAGGTCGCACTATTCCTGCTATATGGCGGCGGTCTGTAAATAATCGAGGCAGTACCAGACACTCCAGTGATCAACAGCATGAGCATCGATCTACGCAATTGGGGTACGATCTCGTGTGTCAACCAAGTCAGTGAGCCTGACTACCCGATCCAGTTAGTCATCTCTTACGACAAACTTGGTTTGCTGGAGACCAATTCAAACCCGGATCGTCACATTTATATTATTAAGCACGAATTCATAGGCTGCCACTACGAACCAACGAATGGTGCCTTTGTTTGTAATAAACGATTAAGGCATTTACTCAATACAGTTCTATTGTTTTCATGTTTTAAGTACCTTGACGCAAACTTTATGAAAGCAACACTCAGCCCTACCAAATAACAATTCACGGAACATTATTCTGAGAGTTGTTACACCTCTATTATATTCATGGGAAGTCTATGGCTGTGTTCCTGGCAGAATACCTATATCTTCTATCTTCGTATGTCATTTGATCAAACCCGTATCCTCTTCCAATGTCAGTCGACAGAATGGGAGGTAGAAAACCTAGGTGCGGACAATGGTGAGTCGGACAATTTGGAACCTTCGTAAGTTAGGTTCGCACATTTTCCATTCTTCATGAATCTTGTCAATCACATTAGTGTCAAAAGGGACAGAGAATTCAGAGGCATAAATAATTTCATTGGATTTGTCGAAAAAGGCACAGGGTCGGCCTGTCTCAAACATATCTAAAATTAGACGAACCTATTCCAAAGAACCACTAGTAGTAGTAGTAGTAGTAGTAGTAGTAGTAGTAGTAGTAGTAGTAGATTATCATTGCTGTTCTAGTAATCACTATGAGACAGAATGCTTATAACGAACAACGGTTATACCGAACTAAGATTAGTGGTCCCTATTGAGTTAGTCATAACCGCAGTTTACTGTGTCCATCACGTTATATATTAATATGAGAAGTTCAGGAAGCCCTCTGCAGCTATATATCAACAATATATGAGTAGCATAAATGTTCATACAGTCATCTATTTATCTTGACGTCACCTCTGTCACAAGAAAATAACTGACTTAGCGATGAATACACCCGATGCAGTTTTAGTCGAAAACTGTATACTACATCTACGGTAATGAACGAAAGGTAAGAGGTACTCACCCAATCAGACCTGGTCACCTAGAGCAACACACTGAGTGACCTGTTGTAAAACAAATAACGAGGGGCTGCTTTAATTTTGAAAGGGAGGCACGAATGCATGTGTTATGTATTGTGTCACAGTACATATATGTGTTATGCACTGTGTAATAATGCGCACCTATCGCTTATGTGTTGTTTAATCGTGCACCCATGTGTTGTGTTGTTTAATAATGCACATTTGTGTTATGTGTTGCCTAATAATGCACACTTGTGTTACGTGTTGCTTAATAATGCACACCTGTGTTATGTCTTATTTAATAATGCAACTTGTATAATGTGTTATTTAATAATGCACACCTGTGTTGTGTCTTGTTAAATAATGCACACTTGTATAATGTGTTGCTTAATAATGCACACTTGTATAATGTGTTATTTAATAATGCACACCTGTGTTATGTCTTGTTTAATAGTGAACACCTGTATTATGTCTTGTTTAATAATGCACACCTGTGTTATGTCTTGTTTAGCTACGTACGCCTGTGTTTTACGTTGTTTTTAATGCGTACCCGTGTTATGTGTGGTTTAAAAATGTACACGTGCATTGCGTCTTGTGTACTAGTGCACACCTATGTTATGTCTTGGGTAACAATGGGCATCTGTGTTACGTAAACTTTAATAATACTCACCTATGATGTTACCTAATGTGCACCTGCCTGTTACATGTTCTGCAATAATTTATATGTTGTGTTATAACGAGTACCATTGTACAGTGGTATAATGATCTCATATGTTCTGAACTGCGTTCGTTGATGTGTGTTCACATTTTTACGAATATTGTATGGAGTTGTGGGGTTTCGTGTGAACGATACGAGCAATGGCAGACTGCTTATGACGGCCATGTTCTTGTCATACGACTGCAGTTTACGTATATATATATATATATATACAATCAGTTGTATGTAAGGTTGTATGATATAGACGATAATGCCACACACTCGTGTTGATATGTTGTCGTCAAACACAGATTCAGGAAGTGATCGTCGGGGACGCCCAGCGTTATAACGGGGAAGCCACGTGATTCAGTATTTGACCTCGATGGGGTCAGGTTAGTCATGCTGTTTACACACACAACTACTCGAGAATTACTGCTTCTTGGAAGCGGTTAACGAGGTACGAAAGTAATGATCATAAATACACGTGGTATGTGTTTGTCGTTCGGGTTTACCCCACTGCACGGGATGAAGGAGATTGTGTATTTTGCGAGACTATTTTTACCTGCCACTATGCAATTCAATAATCGTGGCTTCACTGTCTGAACGTGCGCCACCTTGTTGTTCCACACATACATTTAGAATACCCTTTTGACGTACCCTATCGATTTTCAATTGATCTATATATACTCATGCCAATAATGGTTGTCACCCTCTTAAATTTTTTTAATTGGAGAGGGGGTGTGGGGTTGGGTTGTGAGGTGTGTGTTGGGTTGGGTGGGGGTGACAACCATTATTGGCATGAGTATATTATTTATATCAGTAAAGAAAGTGTGTTTTGTTGATGAGCGTTTATGTTCTGAAACATGTAATACTACATCTTCTCTCTTCAAATTCCGGAACATTGGCATTTGTAGTTGTGGGTGTTTTATTTAAGTTTATTTATTGATTTCAGAGGGGTGTTACATTTCCGATTGTTCGGGCATATTTATTATCACGAACTTTCTAACCTGAAGTAGGTCAGTGTGGAATGCTGCCAAGCAAGGTGCATACAATGTATCACACAGGGAAATGTTAATGTAGGGATTTGTTGCCGCGTATATCAATATGCATATGTATGCACACCTTGCATATATTTCCTATTTCCTAATGTCATTTTCCCAATGTATGCGCAGTTCCTTCTATTTATTTGTTCAAACTTCGGTATCAACAAACACTACACCCTCTGCCTTGACAAGTGTTCTATTTATGGTATCACGGATTTTTAATTGAAACGAAACCCTTATGATTTGTACATTTGCAGTCTATTACTTGGAATTGTCCTGGTTAACAAATGATCAGATAAGTGAGTGAGGTTTTACGTGATTGTTTGCAATGTTCCAGCAATTTCACGCTTTGAACACCTCATGCTTACTTTACACGTTGAACCACATGGGGAATCGAAACCAGGAATTGCCTACCTCGTCCGGATCAGCTAACCACGCGTACGTGGTTGTAGGTACTCACGTGTTTTCAATGTGTGAATTCTATTTTTGTATTCAGAAACTAAGCATTAGTCTAGGTTAGACACTGTGATGCAGACATACTATAAAGGGGGATTAAACAATAATCTCTCCCTACAGGTCATCGTGACATATTATTCCTGAAGTCGAATAAAATGTCATTTCATCAGCAGTTATGTATCTTTGTCAACAAATAAAGTCCCTTTAATAAAGTCTCAATGTATGACGTCGACTGACATGTCGATGCAGCTGAAAGGTGTCCCTGTCGGGTAGTCCATGTAAACTGTTCTTTGTTTAGTTTTGTATTTACACATGCAGGGATTTCAAACACCTTAATTCAATGCTTTGTACATGACGCCCCAAACTCACTTCATGTTACAGGAAGGTCAGGTTTAGACAAGTTCTGTTAGGTTTAGACAAGTTCTTTCAGGTTTAGGCAAGTTCTCTTAGGTTTAGACAAGTTTTCTTATGTTTAGGCAAGTTCTCTTAGGTTTGGACAAGTTCGTTTAGGTTTAGGCAAGTTCTCTTAGGTTTAGGCAAGTTCTCTTAGGTGTCGTCAGATTCATTTTGGTTCAGTCGGGTTCAGTTAGTTCCAGTTAGGCTAAGTCGGGTTACGCCAAGTTCGGTTCAGTTATTCTCACGTAGGTTAAGTCCGGTATAGTGAGTACGAATAATTAAGCCATAAAACCGTTTCCATATTCATAAGAAATCTATAAGAAATCTCTAATAAAAATAAGTCCAATGTGGTATTCCCACGAGTAGCATACGTATCACTGTTAAATATTCATGATACCAGGTGTTTGCGAAATGGTGAGTGAGTGAGTATGGTTTTACGCCGCTTTTAGCAATATTCCAGCAACATCACGGCGGGGGATACCAGAAATGGGCTTCACACATTGTACCCGTGTGGGGAATCGAACCAGGGATTTCAGCGTGACGAGTGAACGCTTTAACCACAAGGCTACCACACCGCCCCTTGCGAAATGGTGAGCGTTCCCTACCCAGCTGTTGTCACCCGACACAAACACACGCAAGGACACGTCAGCTGTCACCTGATATCAAGTACAATCAGAATTAGTTTCAATATAATATAGTTGAGGAAAACAATCTTTCCTGGCGAATTTTCCTGCTTTCGTTGGAAAATCTAAATCGACTGTTTCCTCATGCGTAAACTCTAGTGTTTACTAAGGCGTTACCTTATAAAGAAGGAAAAAGAAGATAAAAATTCATATCGTTTTTTAGAAAATTATTTTGTTTTGTTATACTCCATTACAAACAGATATAAGTATATACATTTGATTAACAAATAATGTCTGCTATGTATCAGACAAATAACAACACATGTTTACAAGCACAGAACATCCATACACACAAACTAACGTATATGTACATATATAGCCGTGTAACATCCACATACATAGACTAGAATTGAAGGTAAATTGGAATATAGGTCATGTTTCTGTACATGATGCTACATGGTGTTAAATTATGAAAAACTAGATGCAGAAACAGCTTGTAACCTAGTGATAGTTGTGTTAAAATAGTCCTGGTACAGAGATGACAAAACTTTATGGATGATCAACTTCTTTATTTTGACAATGGCAATAGTCAATATAAAGAAGTTGATCATCCACATAAAGTTTTGTCATCTCTGTACCACCAGCTTTTAGAATGCAACTCAAACAAATCAAGTCCTGGTTTACACATGAAAATCGGGCTTCGATAAATATACGCAATAAAGAATAAATATATAATGAACTAGGAAACGTCCTTTTCTTTACACATCAAGTTATGTGGAGATAAGTGGTGTGTGTTTAAAACCATCAAATATATGTACAAAATAGGACTGTAATGAAGTTGTCGAGAATTAAAGGATGCTGAGCGTTTGTAGAAGCTACACTGGTGAAGGTTTCTCCTTGGATCCGCCAAACATTGACAAAGGTCCTCAAAATCCGTCAACAGAAAAACAGAATGACAATGGTGGTGATAAAACATATACGTATGATACCGTTATATTGCAGGGATATTGCTAAAAGCGGCATAAAAACATACTCACTCTTTAGCAGTTAATAGCACCAGATGCATTTTCTCTGGATTCTGAAATATTCGGTCGTGAAAATTAATTAAGTTTTAAAGCGATTAATCTACCTCGGTTCCAATGAATGAATGTTTTTGCATTGTTAGTCCCTCATCAAAGTCTTCATAGCGCTAGTCTCTGAGAGCTTCCAGGAACTCTGTCATTGGTTTTCTTTCAGACATGTTCTTGGTGGTATTGATGAGTTGGATCTGAGACTGATAGGACATGTCTTTCGTGTTGGCCAGGAACTTTCCCTCAAGGTCCTCCTCAGTCAGAGGGTTCCTCCAGTGACCGTAGGGGGTGTCACAGCGGCTTTTGACGTGACTCCCGTCTTTCATCGTCACATGGACCTCCACGTACATGTCGTTGAAGGTGGGGATGTTGTCCTCGGGGCAACTGACGCGTGTTTTGGACAGCAGCTGGTTGAGTGGAGCGCGCCGTCTGTAGCTGTGGGTGAAGGAATCTGGTGTTACCTGGCCATCTAACAGAGCCGTGCACACGTTGAACTGGAAGGAGTGGCGGGCTTCATGCTCGGTTGAAGGAAGTGGCCTGTTGATGTATTTCGACTTTGGAGCCATGATGTGTACCTCGGATACTTCTTCTGGAACTATTCTTCTGGCAGTGTGACAAATCTGATCTCTTGCACCCATTGTGGCGTCGATCGCCCAGTGCATTCCCAGATGAGCGGGGAATCGCTTAATGGCTATGTCTTGATTATGGAGGATGAAGTCCTCGTTATTGGAATGTGCGAAAAGGAACTCCTCTGGATCGTAGTCGTCGTAGAAGGCCCCGTAGCCAGAAGCTATGTCAAGGATGTCGTGGTTACCTTCCAGTCCATGGTCCGCCAGAAGCGCTGCTTCCAGGCCGAAGCGGGCAGCCTTCCCGGCATGGAGGGGTTTCGTTGTCGTTCCGGCGTTAGCCATGGGAGCTCCTGCGAAAGATGCAGCGATGGCAAGGGCGTGGCGAGATTTGTGCGGTCCCAAACCCAAGAGTCGAGCTGAGGCAGCGGCACTGCCCATCACCCCAACGACGGCAGGAGGATGAAACCTGAAAGGGCAGGACATTTACACTGGTGATGGTAAAATTTAAAAATCAGGAATACAAGGATATGCTAATCAAGAGCCTATTTGAACACCTTCACATTGTCTGTCGGTTGGGCTAATGTCAATATACAAATGTAAGTAATTTATGTTTAACACCGCTTTAAAATGTCATTCCATGTTATAGTATGGCGTGTCAGCAGAGTGCGGTAGAAGACAGCGTGTCCAGAAACATCAGAGGGCGAACCAGGGTTCGAACCCACAATCAAGTTGCTGGAATAGCAAAGGGACGTAACTCTCCTAATCAAGCGAAACGTGTTGCTTTGGGCAAATGTGCCACCTGTGCAGCGAATACAAACGTGCGTTACAACATACTGTTTGGATAAAATATCGTGGAACCCCTGTGAAAAAAGTCTCGAAAAAGTATTAATATATATTGCAGGAGGATCTGATTTAGCGTGAATGGGAGGGTGTTAGCCATGTGACGCCACATTGATCAATGTTTATGTTACATCACGGCGGGGTCGCTAACTATGTTGGGAATCGAACTTGGCACCTTGGCGTGACGAGCCAACACTTTGACAGCTAAATGCCCCTACTTCAACACTACACTTAATACAAGATAGACGGCACCTACCTACAAGGGATCTCCTTAGCGATCTCTGAACATCTGAGCAGAAGACCCTGCACCTCTATCCCAACATTGTATGCCACAAGAAGATCTTCAGTGGTAGGCTGGTAACTTCCGGTCATCGTCTCAGCAAGGGCGAGAATCGCTGGCAGAACCGGGCCGCTAGGGTGCGTTGCTGGGTACCATGTGTCGTCAAAGTCCATCGAGTGAACGTTGATGCCGTTGAGAAAAGCCGCCATGGCAGGAGAAGCCTTCTGCCCTTTGGAGCCCCAGATAGTAGATGCGGATGGGCCAACTCCATCCATGGCTCCTGTGTTCAGGGAACATCTCATGACCGTCTGGGTGATGTCGGTCTTGAAACCAAGGATCCCCACCCCCAGGGTGTCCAACATCATGCGCTGAGAACGGTGGACGACGGTGTCAGAGAGGTCGGCCCGCGTTGTGTCAGCGGCGAGGTGGGAAATCCAGGTCGTGACGCTGGTTGCAGGAAGACTTGCTTCTTTAAGAAAAATGAACGGTTGATAGATGAACCTGAACATAACGACACCCCTACATAACGACATCCCTGCATAACGAAATCCCTATACAACGTCGTCCCTACATAACGACACCCCTACATAACGACATCCCTATAAAACGACATCGCTACATAACGACACCCCTACATAACGACATCCCTATAAAACGACATCGCTACATAACGACATCCCTGCATAACGACATCCCTATATAACGGCATCCCTACATAACGACATATCTGCATAACGACATCCCTATATAACGACATCCCTACATAACGACATCCCTATATAACGACATCCCTACATAACGACACCCCTACATAATGACACCCCTACATAACGACATCCCTACATAACGACACCCCTACATAACGATATACCTACATAACGACATCCCTACATAACAACATCCCTGACAACATTTGTGGATAATTAAATCACACCATACGAAAGTACAGCACATCAAGACAACAACGGCACATATTTTATATATTATTTGTTATAGAGGAACATATACAGTCAACTGGACAAACGAGAGAGATCATAAACTGGCTTCAAAATGTAATGGGTGGTTTCACCCCGAACAGTTTTGTAACACACATGAATTTGGTTAACCCCTGGGTGTTAAGTTAGGGGCTTAAGTAAGTGGTATTTACGATATAAAAATGGTTGCATTGTTGCGTGATTTGTCGTGAGTGTTATTGATCTAAGCTTTACGTCATCCTATTTTGTGATTATATGAAACACTGTTTTAATCCCCTGCGTATATTTTCAGTTTTCACGTTGCCGCAAAGCAACATAACTGTTCCTCATGGCGACGAACAGTCGCATTTCACTTTAATGTCTGCTTTTCATTTTCCATGATATTGTCAATGTCAATCCAACACCACCTAATATTTTACACACAAATACCTTAATAAATCGTACATAAGAAGAAGAAGTTGTAGTTTAGTTCATTAAGATTCGTTCCGACGAAAATATATTTACCGTTATCAAGCTGAGGTGATTCTACCAGGCAATGAGAGGTATATACATGACGTGTTCAGCTAAACACTGACATAAACAGCTAATATTCACCATATCATTAAATCATGTCAATTTCAGGTGGAACGTGTAACGGCAAATCTATGGTACCTGAAACGGCAATGTTTTGATGTGCATAGCGTCTCCCAGGTGTTGTTGATTGCTCCCCTGCTTTGCTGGAGTTCTTCCTGGTGTTTTGGAGCCCAGTCTTTGCATAGCGAGTCACTTTCAGTAGAGTATTGGTTGCGTCCTGGCAAAATGTAAATTGTAAACTGGTAAATTCATTGATTTGTTATTTTTACAGATTGTAAAGTGAAAGAAAATTCACATAGTTTTTTAGGAATAATGTAAAACCATAAGACAAATTTGTGCTTCTATATAGTTTCTAAATATATATTTTATAGATTCAAGTCAAAAGGTTAAAATAATGTTACCTTTGCTCTGATGCTCATGTTGTCTGTTATTTCTGCTTTAAACCTCTGAACGTGCACGGCGATTGTTCAGGAATAATCTCCCGACAAGCGCTCCCCCCAATTTTATCCAAATTCGAAGAACGTGGGCGGCCCGAGTATTCCCATTTTCGTGGAAAATACATTGAATGAAGTAACCACGTGACCGAGTCATGTGATGTCCAGCTATACGCACCATCTAATTTAAGAAAGGGAAGTAGAATCGCCAATAACGTTCTATCGTGTGGCCTATCTATCACCCCGTAAAACGATGCATCCCGGATAACCAATCAACTCGGTTCGTGGCCCGTAGGGGGAGGAGTTTGACTAAAAATATGTTTTCTTTATGGATACGATTTCAATGCAATACACATATACGCATTCGAGTCACGTGGCTGAGTTCGATCTGTCTGTTGGCCACGCCCCCTGTTTCTCACGATCGCTTTTGTAAACAAACAAAGGGTAAGGAATTGTGAAGCCCACAAAAATGAAGGAAGTCCTCCGTTTCCCCCTCCGAGTGAGTAAATAGGTCGTGATATATAAGAATTTTGTATTCATACACGCACGTTCACAATGACGTCAATTCGACAACTTTCATTAAAGAAGCCCGGGGCATCTTCACACGTCGGTGTTGATTTCACTTGTTTCCGGTTTTATAAAAAAATATATATTTTGTGTTCGAAAAGTATATAATATACTGCATTTGTAAAAGTAAGTTAATGACCGCACGTAACGAGTCAAATAGTATTGTCAGTATTTAGACTGCTGGGAACATACATATGAAAGTGTATTTGACAACGGAAATCGTTATCTGTTACTAGGGCTACGTAATGCAACTTCAGGCCCAAAGAGCAACTATGTCACCCGTATCAAATACACCACCATTGTGTACTAGTAATTATTTCTTGTATACTAGTATGTATCTTTTAGCCATCATTAAATATGGGGGTTTACTTTCTGTTTCTTAATGTATGTAATGTGTTATACCCTGTTTTGACTTTCCTAATGGTGTACAAACACAAATCGTATTATCAGGTATATGGCGTTACGTGATAGAGGGTTAAAAGTAAGTTAAACATCCTAGTGTTGACAAGTTTCACTTTAAATGTATTGTTTATATGTCCGTATTTATCGTGTGTCCCGCCTGGCTCCGTTATAACGCGTTTTACACATTTATGTTTAGGGGCAGTTTATTTAACATATGCGAGAGGGTAGGTGCGGGGATAATGAGGAGGCATGAATAGAGGGCATTTGCAAAAGTTATCACACGTATTGGGAGGGATCGTGGGAAAATGGCACAGTATATTGGGGGACCATGAGACAATGATACTTATAATGCAAAAGGGGGCGGCAAAATGTGATACAGTTCTAAGACATTGTTTGGCTGTGTCCCATCACGCATTGTTGATATGAGTGTACGATATACAGGTCTATCATTATCTGTACGTAACTTCCTTGTTGTTGTGTAATAAACGACAGTATTTAAAAATTTATGATGCTGTTTTTTTTCCTTGTTTTTTAATGTTTCGACGAGGTCTAGTTATTGCTCTGTGTGTGTTTAATCACATGTCTCATAGCGTCGGATCTTAGTGCACATACCTATAACAGTAACGATAATACTTGAAACTGTGCATTCGAGGCATTTACGGTTATGTTCATTCCACTGGTTGATCACCAGCTGCTGCGGGTGTTAGCGAATCAGTAAGGGTGTTTTATTGACGCTGCAGGTGGATTCATGTTTTTGTTTGTTTGTGTTTAGCGCCGCACTCAGCATAAAAAGAGTAAATGACTAATATGACTAGTGATATACTTTAACAGGTGACAAATCATTATATATTATACTTTCAATTTTAATTACTTTACATTTCTTTTAGAATATTATATCTTAAATACGTTTTTAACTCCATTCTATCACGCCCATAAATTGCATTATGCCGTAAGCCGCGCTGGCCACACGTGTTCTTCCACAAAACTATATAATCACACGCAGCTTTAGCACTAGAACATAATCTGAATCAAAATCAGCTGTCCAGTCGAGAAGAGTGATGGCTAATATAAAGAATGGCTGCGTCGCTGATGTGTGTTAAGTGAATGAAATATTGCACAATGTGTACTGAAGTGCAAGTCGAATGTGACAACTACTTAAATATAGTATGGAGTAAATTATTCAGTTTAATTAGTTTTCGTTGTTTGCCTCGCTTTTAGTTTCGCATTTGACGAGTCAAAACCACCATTTCCACGCTGGATATTTTTTCCTGAACGTTGAAATGAAGTTTGACAATTAACGTGTTTTCTATGACTGTTGCGGTTGAATATATCAACTTGATGAAGCCACCCATCATGCTAACATAAACTCGACCATTAAGAGTGAGTGAGTTTAGTTTTACGCCGCTTTTAGCAATATTCCAGCAATATTACGGATGGGTACAGCAGAAATGGGCTTCACACATTGTACCCACGTTGGGAATCGAACCCAGGTCTTCGGCGTGACGAGCCAACACTTTAAGCACTAGGTATCCCACCGCCACCGGCCATTAAGATACGTCAGGGGGGTCGGTTGTTGCGAGCACCCGAAATGGATGTACATGTACATACATTGGGGATTAAAAAGTACGAAAAAATGTATATTTTCTCTTGTACACGTATACAGCTTATCAAACACAGACAACTCAAGGAAGTCATTTTTATTTTATTTATTCTTCTTGATTATATCTTATTTTTTCGTTAACTTTCCTTTTATTTTATTATATGTATTTATTTTGGCGTTGTTTCACTTACATATTTTCTTGTATTTTATTATATTTATTTTTTGTTACTCTATCATAGTAGGCTGGGTAAGTCAGTCAATATTTGCGAATAAGAATAATAAGAATACTAATAGGAATGGAATACAGATTTCGGTACCCGGTTCATCCCTAATAGGTATATGTACACACACAATGACGAGTTGGTTTCCCGGATAAGATTTATCCTTAAGTACTTCCCTGTTGCAAGACACAGAGTTTGTTGCCAGGATACATGCAAATGCTTCAGTGAAGCGATCGGAGACGTTCGAGTGGCTTCATTTTGGTCTCACGTTACCCGTTCAACCAATGGGATCTTACGCCAAATAGGCCCCATCGTGTGTGACATTACAACATAATCTATATGTTAAGAGGGGGGACAGTCACCTGGTGAGTGGGGTCGGGTGTTTCTAGTCCAGCGGTGTTGTGTCAAGGGATGATTCTGTCCGGGTCACATAGAGTGTCGCTTCAAGGCATCTCTTAAGATGACTCAGTAATACATACCACTGGGCGCATATATCCGGTCTAAAATAACTCGTTTTTCTCGGAAATATGTTTAAATGGGTTCTTTTAATTTCGGGAATGGGGAATGTATGAATTATTGGAACCTGTTGGAATTGGCAGCTGATGAAGATAAGCTAAGTTTCTGGTTAATATTTCTTCATGGATGATCGGTGTTAAATAAAAGCGACAAAACCTCATCCGTGAAATACCTGCTAAAGCCGACTATATCATGAGATGACGAGCATGTGGTTATAAATTACGAATTACTACCAAATAGTGATAATACCAGGTGTTCGCGAAAAGGTGGGCGTGTCCCGTCCCACACGTTTAGAAAGAATGATATTTGGTATGAGAAACAAAACCATGCTGAAACATGAGGCACAAACATATACCGCACTATCTTTAATCTAATATTTAGTTTTTGAGCCTCTCAAAATAGGAAAATGACCGATGAAAACACAACTTAGATGTGGATTTCAATTTCCTTGTCATTTTGGTTGTCTGTGACGATTCTGAACAGGTGCTCGCACCAATTATCAAGCGAGTGTTTCTGTTTGTTTACTTTGCTTCCGTTTGTTTGTTTGTTTGGTTTGTTTTTTGTTGTTTTTTAGCGGTTTGAATGAGAATCCTAGAATGGAGTTGACTACGGTCAGAACAAACTGAAAAGGACCACTGATTTTAATTTAGTTCGTATACGTAGTTCGTTTTAACCGTAGTTCGTTATAACCATTTCTACTAAAACCTATAAAAAAGTGGCAGGACAAATTAACAGTTCGTTATAACGTAAGTTCTTTATAACGGAGTTCGTTGAAAGTGTAGTTAACTGTACACTATCAAACGCATGTTGTTTTATGCCAAGTTTGGGTTAGTGAATGACATGTCACTTACATCCAAGATATAATATTGAATTTTAACAAATCGGTATAATACATTTCAGCCGCTAGAACGAAAGTCTTTGTTCATTGTAGTAAATAAATACATTTTCTCAAAACACTGGAAGCAAGTATTGTAGGCACAACATTTTCGCAAAAGATTTCTAGGTTATGCGTTTCTTTTTTTTTTTAATAGTATATATTTAGACGCCGAATAAAGTGTCGTGGACCCACTGATGGACTTCTATGTTTGAAGAGACAATATCCTCAAACCATAACCAACCCGGGATACACGGATTTAAGGAGTTCAGATTTTATCTGAAAATGTGACGCCAGCGCGGGGCTCACAACAGGTTATTATTAGTTGACGACGTTTTCCAGCCAATCAGTGCGGCGTGTGAATTAAACCATGACAAGTTTAATATAATCCGGGTAGTGTGTGAGTAAGATTGATTTTACTCCGCTTTGAAAAGTATACGGCTTCACATGAGAGGTACCCGTGAAGATCCAGGTTAGAATTGGTCTTCAACACCCATGCTAAGAGGCGACTAACGAGATCGAGTGGTCAGGTGCGCTGATTTGGTTGACACATGTCAAAGTCTCCCATTTGTGTAGATCGATGCTCATGATGTCAATCACTTGATTGTCTGGTCCATATTCGATTATTTACAGACTGCCATCGTATAGCTGAAATATTGCTGAGTGCGGCGTTAAACCACATACCAACTAACTATAAGCTTGTTTAGCCACCTTGACACTTTAGCCACCCTGACACTTCACGAATTTTGTCCCCGCACTGGTGCGCAATTTTACGTGCCAATGAGTAAATTAGGCGTAAAGTGTTGTGAAGTGTGCATAAACTGTGCGGGTCTGCGTGCCACTGCGCAAAGACAAGTTTGAAATGTTAGAAACATTTGGTACGCATAATCTTCGTGCCACTTGCGTGAACTAGTCGTGAACATTGCGCAACTTACTCGCAAACAC